AATGTCAAAGTTCATAAAGTGGTTGTTAATATAAAAAAATAAATACCAAAATGGCCAAAGTCGTTAGGTTTTAGAAGGTGCGACAGTGTGTTTTACCCGAATAAGATAGTCCGTGTTTTGGTAGTGCTTGGGCCATTGGCTAGCCATAGTCAAACAAGCTGCTTATTTTGAAGACTTTATATATAAGCGTAAGTATACTAGAAATGAGATATGTTAACTGTGTGTTGTAAACAGCTCAATAACTTACCGTTCCGACCGGAGAATGCAGGAAAGTCTTGCAACAAAGCACTATGGCTTTATAATGACTTTGACATGTCTGTATATTAGTCATACATATACGCATGTCGCTATTCTTCCATAATTCCACAATTTGTACACTTGTAGCTAAAAAGGATTAACATCTGAAAGTAAAAACGAAAGTTGTAAGGACCTCGTAAATTTATGTAAAAAATTTTAGCAAAGCATAAACACGAATGCAGGCTTCCGACTGACATTTTCATTTGGAAGTGCTATTCAGCCGTACGAGGTGTTTGACATTTTTCTCAATCCAGCTACAAACCAAAGGCCGTCACAGCATCGCCACCTTTCGAAGAGTTACATAGATCTTTTTGAATCAGCTTTTAAATAGAGACGAACCAAATTTACATGAACAGAGCTAGAAAATGAGAGCACTGGTTTGTAATATTTCGGGTGATGATTTTATTGCAAATAGGCAGCTTATTCGAATGATGGACATGTTTTTTTTACTTATTTCCTTATGAGGTGTTACTGTTGCTAAATGTGCGGAAGTGATAGATACATTAGCCTACATTTGAAAATGGAACGAAGGTCTATTGACGTTCATTCCTCAGGTGGAAGCTTCAGTCTTATGAGCTCGTAGAATGGATGGACTCTAGTGCTTAGAGCTTATCGGAAAAACTGTCCGCCTTCCAAAAGGCAAACGTACTTTCTCCATTTTAGCTGCGTCACATAACGATACCTATAGAATCATCAACATTTTTATCTCAACATAATTGTTCGTCTGATCACACATGTCGGCTTGTATTTGTATTTATAAAAATTAAACAGGATTTTTTTCCTTCACAAAATGCTATAATATCAGCATGTGTTTATACGAGTCACCATTACCGACGATGAAAGGGTCGATTGACATGGCTGAAGAACACGAATCCGTCTCACGTCGCATCAACCGGTGACTCCTTGTACAGGCTTGCGGAAAGCTATCGACACTGCTATTGACATTGGTGAGCCTTCACTTGATAATATCAAGTTGAGCGAAAGTTTAGGTATAGAGCGTCAAAATCATTGAACTTCAGCGCTGCAGAAACCTTCTTTGAGAGAAAGAAACAATCTTTCGCTCGAGTCGTCCAGAGCTCGCCCTAGATCTTAAGTTCGACAAGAAATAATCTGTTATACCAATTATGTTTCGATTAGGACTAACTAATAGAAATTTACAAGCGACCTTCAGGTTGCTTAACCGAGGATAGTATCGTGCCTAATCGATAAACTATTGTTCCTTCAAAGCCAACCAGTTTTACAGCCTAACCTTTTCCGCTCCGAAAGTAGCATGCGATTCCACGAATGAGTCTAAGGTAACCAGACGAAAATTGCATCAAATGTGACCCGCAAAAACCTAAGGTCTCCTAAAACCGTACTGAATGACAAAAAATATAGAAAAAGTATGACTCTGCATGTATGACGATCTAATCACATTGAATCAACACAGCACATATTCCACTGTCATCAAACGTCTTTTCATATTTTTCTCAAATTCTGTCGCAGATTTTCGGGATTAATTAAACTAACCCTAACCTAATAAAAAACCTAGTTCAGCTGATATTAATACATTTTCAGTTATCCCGTATTTAATTGCAACAAAATTGCCAAAATGACTAAAAAATAACTTCGTTCGTTTGCGTTCATTGGGAGACCGTGACATTCTCCTGGACACACAGACCTCTGCTCTATGGCGCAAAACATTTACCTACCGCATTACAAAGCGGACCACTCTGCTCTTTTCATTCAGATGGTCTACACCATTGAGCAAAATGAAGATGGCCGTACAAATAGTTAATCTCAATTTTTCAAACGTAATTCTGCTGTTATTTGTGCTGCTGCATTCGTATTTATCGTTCTGTCGTTTAATAGGCTTTAGTGAATAGCAGTTACCCAGTTACATTCTACTCTATCCCGTTAACGAACCACAATGAATTATCTATATGATTGCAGGAAAATTGCAGGAAATAACAACGCGCGGAACAGGATCACCTCAGACGGCACCAAAAATGCGTCTAATACTTGTCAAAGAAACGGAAGCACAAGTATAAGAATAGTACACTGAAAAGACAAACTATTACAATGGCCATCACTGGCAGCATCATCGTCTATAGGGTCGTTTCTTGCATACTGGTCATTAACGTTCTCGGCTAGCTGTGTGAGGTTCTGCGGCGTTGCAGAAACAACAATGATAGTTGTTACTGGCATTGTCATAGAGTCTGTCGTACAGAAACGGCGATCTGGAGAACGCTGACCAACAGCACGAAGTACAGAAGACAGAAGAAGATAGATGTGCTCATCATTAGCGGAGAAGATGACACCGGTTGCTGTAGCCAGCTCCAGTCCGCAGACAGAAACGTTGTTCAGCTCAAACTCGTCGTGCTGCCGACACAACGAAAGGAACATCGTCTAAACTTGGCGTCGCTTGTGTGGCACACAGACAAGTCGAGAGACATTTACGTACCCTACTTGTATGTACATGCTAAGTGTAAATGACCGTCGACAGCCATAAAAAGATACAGTTAAGTACATGAAATGACGTTTCGCAGAAATTGACTACGGTACGTAGGGAATTCAATCAAATTCTTTTATGATAGCGTATGTTTAGGTCAGATGGGTTGTGTCAGGATGCCGCAACGGTAACAGTTATTCCATTACGCTCCGGAAGTGGACTTACGCGTGTATGTAGGCATAATTATCGGGAAACCCTACGTTAGATACGTAATGCAAAATAATAATAAGAAAATCGTATACACTCGTTTGTATATAATCACGTGACACCGAAAGGTAATGTATTATATTATATGTCAGGCATCTAAAAGAACAACAGTAATGGGAATCATAACTTTTTTCAATCATACAGTATCCACAGGTGGCTGCTTGACCCCTGTTATACTGCACGGCACCGTTGCGTTACGTGGAATCAATCACCATACCTTTCTCAGTGGAGAAACCTTGCCCTACACTTGCCCTCCACACATGACCATGCCAATGTTTGACAAGATTTGCTTTTCAGAGTTTGATGATCAATTTATGAATAAAAATTGAAGTGATCAACTTATCTTCAATTTTTTTTTAATCGTAGTAAGTATCATATCTTCGTCAGCTCTATAGCTTTGTATATATATATATATATTCTGAATAAATCTGGGCGGATGCCTTCGAACTTATGATACATTATAACTACACAGAGAAACATACCTTAGCATCTGTTCCACTCTATATCTATAACAACCCGCTGAAACAATAATTCACGATTAGAATGAAAATGGATCATCTTGCATCGAGCGTCGACAGTCTTCACGTAAGCACACCAAATTGTATGCTTTTTTTTATCTTTGCTGTTTCTGTGTGCCTGCTACATAAGTAGTCTTAAAAACGCTCTATCTCGTCTCAGTCTTGGGTACCTTTCTAGAAGGAACCAACAAGCGGCTTCCTCAACTCCCAAGATTGATATCCAAGCTTTGACGGCTACTAATAATAAAACTATTCTATCATGACTCAAACCACACGAAATCTGGGGTTCCACTTGCCAGAAAAAAACCTTTTTAGTGAACTGTTCTTTCATCCTACTATACGCTGGCAGAGCTCTACGTTGGGTCCACATCAAAGATCGACGCCTGACGTGGTGAACCATCCTTATGCTCTCGACGTAGGTGCCACGCGTCCTGTACGACAACGTTTTCCTGAAATATAACACTTCAGATTGCATTGCCCGCAATCGACGAGGCATGCATCGATTGTTCTAACAGCAGAGACATTGTACGGATGTTGGCCTCATTTTGTCTTTTAAACTTTGTAATATACATTGATTCATGTGAGCGTATATGTAACCGCTAGCAGTAAATACGTCTAACAAGATAGCCTGATAGTGATGATGGAGGCGTACGATAAGTTCACGCGGAACATCTAGCTAGACAGATATGTATAATAAATTGCTGACTCTGATCTAATGGTAGACTACTAGCCTTTGTGCATAAATATGGTTGAGGTTAGACTGCGATAATTTTTAGCGTGATATTATACTGTTTGCAATTTTCAAAAAATCAGGCGTTTTTTTTTACTTTGCGTTTAATTGCAAATGTTCCCTTTGTTAATTACCTTTCATTGGTCTAATGGGGTAACCACAAGTTCGAAATCGTGACCAACCCGAATGACCAAATACTCATGGATCTCGCTTTATTGTTTGCCTAACCATTGCAACCCTTCTACTGGCGTATCGTGTCAGCCTTGCTGGTTCGCTATTGATAAATCTTAGAAGATCCATTTCGTATTAAAAATGTTTCTGCCGGTTAGTTGTTAAATAGACCTTCACAGGTATGTTGCAGGAAAACGTAGAAAACTTGTGCTCCAATGTAGACCTGGTCTTAGTTAACATCCCTCCTAGCATTTCTACGTTAGTTACCCAAATAATAAGCAGCTTACGTGACTGCGAAAGCCGTCGTAGGTTAAAACTTTTATAGCTGACGTCCTAATCCTGCCGTACGGCACTGCGTGACCTTTACCTCAGACGACTGAAAAATGTTCCCAGCCGTCCTGGCAAAACAGAATAAAGCATCGCGTTCTTATCTCACGAATCTGGCACACAAAGTGTTTGCCGTTATTACATAGTTAACAGACTTTCTCACTTGATAGATAAATAGGACGCAGCTGGCAGTCTAGTTTGAGTAGGAAAAATAAGTACGTGCGCAGTGTACAAAAACCTAACCTAAACAAAACACTGTTTGGCTATATCTTTCGACGAAAACTTGATGCTTAAGGATTGAAAGCTGGTCATTTAATTAGCCATAACGAAGCTGACTAAAAATAACGAAAGATGGCTACGACTTCAGCGAGTTGTTTGAAAGTAAAACCTTTAAAAGACCTTGAAGAAATACACGCATTATTAAGGGAATTTCAGCAGTTCGAGGTAGTTATTGGCCCCTCAGAAGAGACGTTCAGGCTCGCAGGTATTGCTGACAATGAGCTCGATGATCTTTGCGAGGTGAGTTGAAATGGAAGCGCCCTCGAGTAAACTAACTACACCTTTGGGGCCATATTTGAGCGGGCAGAATTATCCAATGTATTAGTGTCTCAAGTGTACGAAAAAAGGAAGGCGTAACGTAAACATGAGTGTCTGCTGTTTCAACGACCGCTTGAGCGTTGTTATAAATATATACAATTCATATCCTTATTGAGTTCTGCTCAAGTTTATTTTTCACTTACATATGTCCGCAGAGACGGGTATGGGGCGGCGAAACTTGGCTGATCTCCCCATCCGTGGCGTGTCCTGTGGGTTACAGAAGTAGAGGCAAATGACAAATGAGTCCAAACAGACAAAGAAGTAAACAAAAGCGTATTAAGCCACAGAGGTTTCTCGCTATGGACTATATGCTAAGGTTATTAAATAACTGAGTTCAATGTACAACTGCCCAATTTATTGTTGAAACCTGGCGTCTGATGATCCAGTCATTTCATAGGTAGATGGCTAGAAGTGTATATATATATATATAGTAGTCGGCTGTGGGCAATACAAGTCCAGCAGGCACGAGAAGATATCTTTTCCTGACGACTATTGTTAACTAGGTCAGCAAAATAATCTTCATCACTCTTAAATTAAATTCTTCCTGTTTTACGATAGGACCTAATTGTTTTTTGCATCACCGAATAACATCTAATCAAAGCTAAATGCTTCAACGACTGTGAACAAGGAGACTACGAAATCCGTGCTTAACTTAATAAGTTAAGTACGGAAACGAGCTTACGTCCGATTATTGCTTAAGACTGTTGCATAGAACAGGCACGAATAACAGCAACAGTTTTTGGAAGTCGTAGAGAGTGATACACAGCTCTGGGATTCCAACACAATGAAAGATTATTTTAGCGGAACTTTTGCCTTTATGCATCGCAAGCCAATTACGAATATGTAAGGGGCTATAATTTGATGATTGCATAGAAACTGTGCTGGAGTGGCACACGCCGCCTTTAAATAAATCCTTTCAACAATCCTATCCTACACTGTTTTGAGTCAGGAGTCGAACCTTGTCCTATGCGCCCGAATGTATGAGAAAACACTCTGGGGCGAAATTGCTTTTAAGACGGTTAAGAGCTGTTGAGAGCGTGTTTAAAAATCACTTAGATTTTCAGAAATGGTCTGAGATTTCTAAGATTTTTGGATTTGACAGTTCACCTTGTTACAACGAAATAAATAAGTTAGTGGGTAACTTATAGGAGAATGCACTAACGACTGCAGAGTGACGAGTCAGTTGCAATGAAAGTACGGAATAGAGAAATTGGATGGTTTCTGCAAAGTAATGATATAAAATAAAGCAATAGCTGGTCCCATTGTTGAAAACAGCTACGGAATAACTGCAGTAAATTGTTTGCTAGGGAAATTAAGGAGAAGAACGACGCTTTAAGGTACTAATGGCTAAAACCTTAGGTACGAGCATTTTCATGCCTTCAAGGTATCACTCATTAGAATATCAGTAAAGTTTCATCTATTTGAATTTGTGCGTAATAGGGAACGTCCAGATAAATAGACAAAAATAGTGTTGCTATGCTAAGACACGATGCTTTAAGCATTCGTGTTGTTAGACTCCGTCCTGCCATATAATAAGACTCGTTTTGATATTATGAAAGTATTTTTAACTTAAATAGCGTCATTGGATTAGCTGCACTGGGCGATGAAAATTATTTATTTCCCAGTGCTGCTATAGGGAACTTGTAAAGGGTTCCTAGCAAAAAGATTTCCAGTGATCTAACGTATAGACATGTCTGCCAGTTCTGTCAGCGGCACAATACTCTCTCTACTAAACGCTGTACGTTGATCAGCAATCCTAATTACAAGTGATCTGCAGAGTCCACCAGTATTAAAGTATTTCCATAATGGTTTTTATTCAGGTTCATATATCTCGTATACCCAATACGGTGTCGCTGGCTCAGCTTGTACGGCTATGTATTTCTCTAAATGACTCAGGTGGGCTTGCTTCGTTAGTGCGCCTGACACTCTTTATAAACTCCAGCGGGATTTTAACCGGTAAAGCAACAGCTACGTATCAAAATGAAGAACACGCCATGAGCGCCGAGTTAGAGCTAAATGGGGCAATTATTTCTGACGAAGGAATAAAACGACTAAAGGTCAAAACCGAGAATTGGGTTCTTCAGTCAAAGCCACCGACATATCCTCAGCATCAACCACCTCCGACAACTACGTCAGCTTCAGTAGCATCGTCATGCATCGATAAAACTGATGACGAGCGAACTGATCTCTCAGAACGACAGTCTCCTACGGCCGAAGTACCGCAAGCTGTCGTCCTCTCGCAGGACGATAGTAAGGTATTTTCTGATGCGACTAGGCCCATGACACAACAATCAGCACAAAATGAAGTAAGGACAGCAACAGTTGGTGTTATTACCGCACCTTCTGCTGTTGCTCTTGCCACCGTCCTTGTCGGCGCTAACGCGCCAGTTTCGGTTACACCTGAAATGCTAGTGGCATCTTCAGCGACAATGCCTGTGCCATCAGCGTCATCACTGACAACAACAACAGCAGCAGCAGCAGCAACACCGTCATCGGCTACGGCAGCAGTGGCCCTGATGCCTATACCAGCCCCGCCTTTGCCCATCTCGCAACCATCACAAGCGACACCACTCGAAGAGGGTTTAATAGCGACGACAGAAATGGGCAGGAGATTATATGTCGCCAATATTCCAAAGAATAAAACCCAACCTGATATACTTTCCTACTTTCAGCGATACCTGTCAGGCGTTGTTGATGTCGTTCTGTACACGTATCCGGGCTCATCGCAAAATCGTGGCTTTTGCTTTGTGGAATTCACATCAACGAAGAAAGCCATGGTTGCCAAAGATGCAATTGTAGCTATTCGGCCATGGGGATGCGAAGTAGTCGTAGACTGGGCGGATCCCGAACAAGAGCCAGCCGAGCACGTGATGAAAAATGTAAAAGTGCTTTACATTAAAAATATTGCACCACCTACCAGCGAAGGCGATCTTCGAAAGGCGATCGAGGTTTGTAACGTCGGCTACTGTTGTGCATGTTTTAGAGAATCACCAAACGGCCATTATGTTTAGTATTGGTATAGAACTTCGAATATTGCCTATGGTCTAGTTTACGTATGGTCTAGTGGTCTGTGCCATAGTAGACTGCGATGAAAATCGTAGAGAGTGGCAGTATGTACGATACTATTTGACTTTTCGTCACGTAAGTATGAATCAGCCCATGATATTAGGTCTGTCTAAATATTGAGCGTTTTCGTTATTTTGAATCCGGCGCAGGAACGAGGGATTGAGGTAGAACGAGTAAAAGTTATTAGAGACTTTGGTTTCGTGCATTTCGTGAGCCGAGAACGTGCGGAAGCCGCGATGGAAGCGTGCAGAGACCTCGAGCTTGATGGACAAACCCTAAAAGTATGAAATGAGTTAATAAGTACGTGTTTCAAATATTGTGTAGCATTTCTCATGCCTTGTTTTTAGGACAAGAGGCGTAAGAAGTGCTTACGTGCATTCAAATGGTTGACATCTTAAGCGGTTGCCCGGGATTACACGGGAAAATGTCATAACTATATTCGTCGAATATTACAGCCAGAAGATCTTTATATAAATATGGTGCGATAGGGACCTAGTTTGTATCGTTGTTTTTCTTGGAATAGAAAATCTATTGCTATTCATAGCACAGTAAGTTAACATTAAAAACCTAACTGAGTTACAGAAAAAAAAAAAAAAAAGAACGTTTCTATTACGAGGAGACTAAACGGCTATAGTCGTTATCTGTTCCGAAATAGTTCACATTTGGTCGTTCATAAATGAGAACATCGTGTCCTTTCAGGTAAGCTGGGCTAAGCCGCCGTTAAACAAGCACATGCGCGAAGAGGTTCTCCGAAGACGAGAGCGACGAATGCGTCGCGTTTTAGCGTCACGCTACAATGGAAACGCAGTCTCATTTCCGGAGCCTCATTTTCACGAGTCACTGGGCGACTCCCTAGTGTTCGATTTTGGTGGATACAGTGGAAACCATGGACAAGGGGATTACTAAAATGTTCCAATGGAAAGAATTTAAATACGTTCTCTCTCCGAATCCGTATTTATTTGATCTGATGTTAGTTACCCGAAAAAAAAAACACGGAAAATGATAGATAAATTTCTGACATATGGATACATAGTAATGTTGTGTTTATTTAATCTCGTTGTGGCCAACTTAGAATGTGAGTAGGCCTTTTCAAACAATATTGATTATTCCACAGAGCAGTACTATGTTTGAGCAAGGAGAAATTTACTAGCCTGCTCTTGAAATGCTGTTTGCATGGTGGAAAATATCGAACGCTAACGGTTTTACTGCAACTCTCTGAATGGACCTTCTTAATAATGACCTCAGGTGCTTTACTTCGAAACGATTAAGGTAAATAGGAGCAGGGATTATGCCTTTGTCTACTACACTTACGACAACAGGTTTGTGATTCTGCTATATGCAGCATCGTAACGGAAGCGTTAACAAGTACTTGTCTAGACGAGTGGTGACTTCGTAGGCTCTAGAGCGCCATATTAATAATACTAATATATGCCGGATTCTACTGAATACTGAAACTTTGGTTTTTTTAAAGGTTGCTTGCTTTAATCTGCACGAAATCTATTGTCTAAGGAACAGGTCGGTTATATTCCTGTGTGGCAATCTATCTGGCAAAACTAGCCAATCGTCGTACATGTATGTCGCGCTTGTGAATGGAATAGATCTGCATGGTTAGGTTACATGGTCAAAATTTCTGTTTCGTATGCGTGCGATTCCGTCGGCAATGTGTTAAATGTGAAGCTTCACCTCACGTACGCGCTATGTAAAAAGCAGGATCTGTGCATAGAATTCGTATTCTGATAGCGTGATCCTTTGCTGTGTATCATTCGGAATTAAGCAACGTATCTGCGTGGATAAGACGAAAGACGACCACAGTCTTTCAGTGATTGTTTCTATCCTATAATAGATGTATTGTTGTGCAACGGGAAAGCTCGCGTTTACTACCTCCCCTCAACAGACATCAGTCGATAAATAAAAATAAGTTGTACACTTTGTCTACTGACGTAACGGTTACGATCATGAATCAAAACTGATTTCTGGTTAAACGTAATGTACTCGTGTTAAGTTCTCCATTTACCTATCGACCAAAAGTTTGCGTTCTCTTACCTTGTCGTGGCTGAGGTGTGCAAGGAGTGAAAGACTGAATAATTTCCTAGATCGGCGAAACACCTGCAGAACACATGGAGAACGTGTATACACAATAGCCCGTAAATTGCTTATTGGCCAATATATATAACCGGTATAGTATCGCATGAAACAAAATAGGACTCAGCGAGACCTCAAATGAACCCGAGGTGGACAATGCTTGTGGCCTCAGGGAAAATCCACTTTGAAAATAGGGCATCTTCAAAAGCATACGATCGCTATCATCTTAATCTTTGTATCTTGATATCTGAATACATTTGTTCGCTCGTGACTGCGGTATTGTATTTTGGGTAACAGTATCGCTGCTGAACACCTGCTGATGCTCATTTGAAATTGTGTAGAATCAGTGGACAAATGGTGTGACGTTCCTCTGTAAAAAGAGAACCGGTAACACTAGCGAATAAAGCCTAGGAAAGAAAGCAAGTGCTAACGGCGAAAACCAATATCACAGCGTATATCCTCCTCTATAGGTATAATAAATACGGCGTTTTCACATCGTGGATAAACCTGTGGGGCTTCGGTCTTGCCGTTTCTTGCAGAAGCCGCAGTCGAGATCTCAAGACAAACGGACTGAGCCTTTCTACTTATGCATGATATATCTATAAGCGAAACTATTCACATGCTTACATATACTCTAGTGGGGCAGTCGAAACAGGCTTTCGTAATGTAGCTTCGTGGAGTGTGCAGCTGAGATGTTGCTTTTCCGGTAGCCACTCACTGACTTGTGCTGAAGGATTATAGCCTATGTTGGCCTCAAAGGCTCGCTTTGGCGTAAGAAGTGCCTTACGATCTAAGTGATACCAACTGCAACCTCCGCTAGCGAACCACAGTTCGTTTTGTCTGTGGCGTCCTAATAAACGGTGTTGTCATTCTGCAAAGCGGCGCCACACCCAGTTACATTTATGAAACGTCGCATATTCCTGATGAAGGCTGCACGCCGTTTGCATATGGACTTCCCTTGCTATCTCTCTTTTACGCAGTAGCGACTCCATGAATTATTGCCACATGATCCCCACCATCGCAATACTAAAACGTTACGATAAAGCGTATTATTATTATGCGCTATAAAATTCAATGTTTGTTAGAGAGAGAGAAGAAAAATGATTTTTGAAATGTCTGCGTCCTAAATAAAATATGTTATTACGTGCCAAAACTCTTTTGGATGTCCTGGATAGATTCATACTGTATTATCCTGTTTGACGATTGTTGCCAGAGTGGTACGATACACTCTTACAGGACACCACACTGCATTCCATATATCTAAGGTAAATGCTGCTCAATCGTCTAAACGATCACCGATTATCACTGAGAACTCCTCATTTACTCAGAACTATTGAAGAATACACAATCATCGAATGCTAAAAACTCATGGACAAAAAGGCAAGTTAACCTAAGCAAGGCTAACAAGATCATGACATTTTTTTTTTTCATTTGCACCCCTCTTATATCTTATTCGCATTCATATCTGCACCCCTCTTAACACAATAGGTAAAGCTTAAGTATATCATAGCTACGTATAATGATGCTGCCGACGTACTTACCTATATATATATATATGTTGTAAAATCAAATGTTTCTTCATTGAATAGAGAATGAGCAAACGATAGCCCTTTTGAGCACAGTGACGAACGTGAGGTCAACAATACGTTTTCGAGCAATATCTGCTTTAAGTATCTTCTTAAATAGCCGTAAATGTTAATAAATAGCTGGCCTTGGTTTTTCATCTAGATCAAGAATGCTTTTCGATTCCCTTTACGTTCCCACGGTTTTAGGTATTTATTGATCCTTGTTAGGCAGTTCCCTTACAAATAAGTTCAATAGCTATAGTCGTACCCATGTACTCATATAGTCCTTGTGACGGTGCCGGATTGTACAGAGTTCGTAGGACTACAACTAACTAGCTTGACAACAATCTCACAAGATCATACCGTGCAAGCATTCCTAGAGAGTGTGCTTAATGCCATCCTATCGCCAAATATCCATCACTGGGTTGTCTACAATCTAGACATAAGCACGCGTTGAATGTTATTGACCTCAGATCGCGTACCGATGTGACTACTGAGCGTTTAAACAACGCTTTAGCGCTGTTTTAGCGCGAAATTTGCGGAAGTCAACATTGACTTCCGCAAATTTCCGCTCTTAGCTAACGAGATTTATTGTAAAGATACGAGTACGCAAAAGGTTAAGGCTCATTCGGCCAGAAGCAATTTGTCGGCAAATTTCAGTTCACTCATTCATTGCGCGAGTTCATTTCCTTCTGATCGATACATTTTGGTCATCTTTCCATTAGCGGAGTTAGTTGTTCGATGTTCTCTCTATAATCATACTATCGTATCACGTATGAAGGTGATATGCCACTGCTGGAACGGCTCGGTCGAAAAAGACTTAGAGCATTTGAGCTGGATAGGCGTTGACATAGCCGTTGGAGCCAGTACCTTCTAAATGCGATGTAAAAGTTCATCGTCGAGCAGCCCTAGACGCGGAAAGTTGTCGGCGTATCTTCGGTGTGTGTCTAATATGAGTACAGTATCTGCCAGTAGTTCTCGGCATTGATCATTCCGGAATTATTTCATGGGTACGCTTTAACAGGTGTTTAGCCGCTGGGGAAATGGTCTTTTTTCTTGGAATCAAATAAAGATGTACTGGCGTTCTCATCGCACCTATTTCTGCAGATGTCCATCCAGTAGATCCGCTCGACAAAAATGACTCACTATCCATTTATGGAAAAGAATTCGCTGCGCGGGCAAGGAACGTTTGGCACCAAGTAGTGACGTCCTCAGCAATTGAAGTAGGTGACTTATGATGGGCTGAAGACGCGGCCTAAACTTCGCCGTCGAACTTCTTGACCGACATCAGAGACAGAACCCTATCCACGACACGCACGTAGGCTGCTGCCATCTTTACATGGGGCTCGAATCCCCGGCTCAGTGCAGTGCGAGGTTTCCACTCAGTGGTTGTAGAAGACTGATCCTTCGCTGCCAGTACGACGGGGGTTCACTGCCTTCCAGGCACGACAGTGTGCGAAGCAGTAACCTCCCAAGGACCTAGTTGCCTAGGTTACCATTATTGTAACGATGTCCCGGGCATTTGGTGTAGGTAGCGCTAGCGTGTATGAGCGTTACTTGCCGTGATTGAATGGAGTATGTGCCCTTATTGTGATCAGTGCTTGGTTCAACAAGTGTTCAATAGCTGCAGCATGCGTTAAACGGGCCATCCATATGGCAGCGTTGACTCAGTCTGGAACAAACGGATTGTTGGTGAGCCCTCACTAATGTTGGTTCAAAAGGACTTGGCAGTTTGCCATTTCTGCTGATCCATCGTAGGCGGAGGTGATAAAGAGGTGTTGTTCAGTCTCATCGGAGCTTTCTGTTGACAATTCGTCCTTTCCTTCTTGTCCTTTTTTTATGTATCCACTCGTAAAATGATAATTCCCCTGGTGAAGTCATAAACGATTTTTTGGCTACTTTACCTCCGTAGCTTGATAGTCCGTTCTTGTCGGTATGCGCTCGGCAATGGGATGCTGAGAATACAGCGTTATTCCCGGCTACCTTATTAGTCAGGATGTCGCTGGTAACCTCCCTGGTGCAAAGAAAAGCGCGGACGCTACATAGAGTTCGGACTCTGAGTAGACTGATTTCAGTTTATTGCAGAGCTTTCCATCGCGAACATAAACTTATCTTTCCCAAACGTTGTGCATTCCTGCTATACTGCTTGGAGGAAGGTCGTTATAGAGCGCGCTGTTGTGTTAAGATATCCGTCTGTTCCACTAAAAACATTGTCGATATCCATCCCTGAAAAAGCTCATACAACTATGGAAGCTTTTCTGGATAGTAGCTTCCGTAACACCGGCTTAAGGGGTCAATGATGCTGTAACTGAAAGGCAGCATAGGCTTGTCGGCGGGTTCGTCACTGCAGGAAAGTTTGCTAGCGTGGATAT